CAGTAAGTTTACCTGCATGTACGTTGTTATGCGGTCATGTTTTCATGCTTTATCTATAGTTGAAGGGAAGTTCAGTCTGGAAACTTTTTGAAATCTTACCTTCACCAATCATATTATTGCATAAGTATGTTAAATGTGTTGTTTAAAAAATCAAACAAACCCAGCCAGTGCATATATAACTATACAAACATGCTTGGAAACATGCATATGTACCTTGGAGTCCCTAGAATTAAGGTAGAATTGGGTCTAAGAAATAGTATATATTAAGACAGAGGCCAGGCAGGTAACATAAGTAAGTAAAGCCAGGGGTAAGAAATAATTGGCTTTCCCAGTCTTATATTTTCCCCCACTGTCATTGGAGCCATGGATGCCAGAGAAATACTTTTTTCCCACTTCTACCACGAGAAGAGAAAGTCTGCAGTGAATGGGTGAACATTGAGCAGCTTGTGATATGCCCCACTGGACTGGGGACCCTGGTGAGCAGTAGTCAACAGCAGAGTGGGGAGGCCAGCAGGGACAGTGAGACCCAGTTCCAGCCACGGCTGCCACCTGTGAATGCAGACTCTGTTGTCATCTCTTCCCTTCTCATCTCTTCTTCCTCTTCTCCCAAGATAATCTAGAAACCTAGATATGTACATAAAAAATCCTATTTTTAAAAATGTTGACAACTGCTTGATATGTTTAAAAATACACTGCAGAACAAATAAGTATGTCTATATGGTTGCAAGAGGAAGCTGACGTATGAGTCAACAGTTTGGATCTGAAGCCAGACTAAAGTACCCGCAACAGCCTGCTGAGTGAGAGGTAGGACATGGTGATTGGGAGGGGGAATGGAAGATGGCTCTCTGGTTTTAGACATGGATATCAGTCCATGTCATCCATTGGGATGGGGGACAAATAGGAAGGAGCAAGTCAGGGAGAGGTATAAGTTTCATTTTGGACATTGATCCTAAGTACTTATGGGACATGTGGGAGGAGAGATTTAGCCTGGAGACACAGATTTCAGAAGCATCGCAGTAACAGAGCACAGGAAACTTTGGGAATAGCTGAGATGATCCAGGGAGAGCCAATGAAACAAGATTAGAAGACTGTGGGTAATAATACCCTGGTAAACATCAATATTTGAAAATGGGGGTTAATTAAAAATGTTCATAAAGGAAGATGAGAAAGACTATCCAGAGAAGTAAGAGAAGAATGAGGACATTTTAGGATCAAGGAATTTGAGGAAGGAAGAAGGTTTAAGGAGAGAGCCATCACCTATGTCAAATGTTGCCGAAATCTCAGGCCAGCCAAGGGGTGGAACAGTATCCACTAGATTTCGCTACAATATGTCACCAGAGGCACTATAGGAACAGGAAGTCAATGGTGCCCTGGCTGAGTGCTCAGCTGATTAGAGCCTCATTCCGATACACACCGAGGTTGCAGGTTCCACCTCTGGGCAGGGCACATACAAGAATCAATCAATGAATACATAAATAAGTGGGACAACAAATCAGTGTTTCTCTTTCTCTCTCCCTCTTTCTCTCTCTTCCTCCCACCATCCCTCCCTCCCCTTCTCTTTCTGTCTCTCTCAACTCAATTTAAAAAAAAAAAGGATGTCAGTGGCATTTGGGGTCAAATCTGAGTTTGGAATTCAGCTTTTCCACTTAATGCATAAACTTGGACAGTAAAATACTTCTCAAAATTTCAGTTTACTCATTCATAAAGTGGAAATCATAATATCTACATCACATGGCTTTTGTGAGAATTTATGGTAAGCAAAATAAAGCCTCTATCCTCAGGTAGCTTATGTTCTTTTGGGAAAGAGTCAATAAAGTTAATATATAATTTCAAGAAGTGACAGAAAAAAGCAGAAAGCAGAAAGTAGTGTGAAGGATTATAGAGTAACTTGGAAGGGTGGGTAGTTTCTATTTTAACCTGGTAGAGAGGTTACCTCGGAGAAAATGACATTTGACCCAAAATTTGAATGGAGAGGAAGAAAGACATTTGATGACCTAGGTGAAGTGTAAAGGTCCTGTGGTAGGAATGGGTTTGGCCTGTTCCAGAATTTTAAGAAAGTCTGTGTGGCTAAAGCGGATTTGGGAAGTATAGGAGATGAGTTCAGAGAGGTGAGCTGACCATAAAAGTAGATTAAAATGTAAACTAAGAATTATAAGCCATTGGAGAGTGTTGAGTGAGCATGGAGGTGATGTGTAGTGATTTACATCTGTAAGAGGTCTGTTTTCTGTGTAGAGAATAGGATGCTGTTGCTGAACCTGCAAGATGTGATAGAGGCTTGGGCAAGGTTGTGGTTGGGGAAATTAAGGATATATTTCAAATGCAGATTCAACAGGATTAGCTGATGGACTGGATGTGAAGTGGGAGGACTTGACTTCTGGGTCTTTGGACCTAATCAATGGAGTGAATGGTAATACCATTTTTATCTTTCTTTTTTCTAAAAAAGATTTATTTATTTATTTTTACAGAAAGGGGAAGGAAGGGAGAAAGACAGAGAGAAACATTGATGTGTGAGAGATACATTGATTGGTTGCCTCTTGCATGCCCCCAATTGGGGACCTGGCCTGCAACTCAGGCATGTACCCTGCCTAAGAATAGAACCTGTGACCTTTTGGTTGGCAGGCCAGCACTCAGTCCACCAAGCCACACTAACTAGGGCAATAGTATCATTTCTTAAGAAGGGTCAAACCTGTTGAAGTATGGGATTTTAAAATCTGGAATAAGAATAGGAGTTCTGCTCTGGACATGTTACATTTAAGAGACCTCTTAGACATCCAAGTGGAAAGTTAAGTAGGCTTGTGGGATTTGAGAGGGAAAGCAGAAGCTAGAGACATCAATTTTGGAGTACGATAGGGCTAGATACCCAGGGAGGGAGTGCAGATAGAGAAGAGAGCCTGTGACTGAATTCTCCAAAGTTTAGAGATAAAATTCTCCACAGTGGTATGAGCAAAACCAGGAGACTAGAGCATGGTGACCTGGAGGCTAAGCTGAGAACGTGTTTTAACAGGGCAGATATAAACAATTGCATCAGATGCTACACAGAGGTTGAGTTTGACGAGTTTGTGGATTGTACCTGACCTTTAAGATCATGGGATTGACCTTTTTGAGGAAAGCCATTTGCATACTAGAAAAGAACAGTTTCCCTGGATTCATGGAAGCAAGAGCCTAATTGGAATGAGTAAAGGAGCAAAGAGGATAGGTAAAGAAGTGGAGACCATGGGTCAAGTTCACTAATTCTTAACATCTACAGGAGTCATAAATTCCTGCAAGTTTTGTGTAGAATTTTGGGCATATGGTAGCAAGCTGTGTTTCCCAGGAACAGAAGCCATGTCTTTCCCCATAGATTTAAAGGACTGTGTCACTGACACTTGGCACTAGAGGCCCAATGGCTGGCCCAGGGCTGCCAACACTCTCAGGCCAAACTGAAAGAGGTGGCACCTTCACCAGGTGCTAGTTCCCTGCTGTGGCCAAGGACAAGGGGCTTCCAGCCATTTAAAAAAGAAGGGGGAAAAAAGGAAAAAATAGCAATTTCTGTTTTCCATAAGTTGAGTCCCTTTAAAACTTAACTTTAAGTTTGGACAAGTGGCTTAGTTGGTTGGAGCGTTATCCCGCACGCCAAAAGGTTGTGGGTTTGATTCCCTGTCAGGGCACATACCTAGGTTGTGGTTCCATCCCCAATCAGGATGCCTACAGGAGGGAGGCAACCAACTGATGTTTCTCTCTCCCATCAATGTTTCCCTCTGTCTCTCTCCCTTCCTCTCTCTGTGAAACTCAATAAACATATCCTTGGATGAGGATTAAAAAATAAATTTAAAAAAGTTAAAAACAAAAAACATTAAAAAAAATCTAGTCTCAGCTTTGAAAGATTTTTCTTGGCTAAAATAGCACCTCTGTGCGACCTCTAGTGTATGTTATAAAAATGCAGCCCAAGCATTCTATTTTACATGAACATATTTGAAAAGATAGCTTAGAAAAATGAATTTTTATAAACCAAATGCTATTCCCTATTATATACATTTGATTGTTCTATATGTATAAGGATATGTATATTACTGTTAATGTATATAATAACAGTAATATGAGATCTAAATGGTATATAAATAATAAATTTGTAAGTGTATAAATGAAAGTAAAACCCAAATATAACAGTATAGACTTAAAAAATGTTTTCTAACCACCAGGCAAATGGTACCTGTAGGCTGGGTTTCAGAGAGACAGGTAAGTGGTCATTCTCCATCCATTCATAGAGCTCAAACTGGACTTTCAACTTTCCTTCAAGGGGGGGGTCAGTGTATGGAGGTGGAAGAGGGTATGGGGGGATTTGGGAAGTATAGGAGATGAGTTCGAAATAACATCTGTGAGGAATTCTGAGGATTCTAGAGAATATCTTTTCCCAAGTGATCCATCAGTGAAAACTGTCAACACCACGGAACTCATAGACTATGTGTATGTGCAACAAAATCTTTGGATGGGTTGACCTATTTAAATGACTTATATTCTTCTGGGCCAGGCATTTGCAAAGTGGGGTCCCTGGACTTGCAGCCTCATCATCTTGGAACTTAATGGAAATGTAAATTCTTGAACCCCACCCGAGACCTACTGAGCCAGTTCCAAGCAATCTGCTTTTAATGGGCTCCTCAGTAATACTGATGAAATCTAAACTTTGGAAACCACTGTCATTGGTCATACCTATACTGATAAAGATTGAAGATGCTATTGTGCTCTTCAGGTACTTGGAGGAAAATTCTGTTTGTCATTAAATAGAAATAAGTCTTCAAAAAATGTGGGACAGTATTACAGATACTGATACCTAACTCATTTTTTCCCTAAATATAACAGCTTATTTGGACATAGGCAAATAATTATAAAGTTAGCACAATAATTTCCCAAAAGACCCATTTTTCTCTTGAAAGTCATGGTTTTGCAATAACTAATCATTGTGATATAAAATAGGTAATTTTATGCCCATTTCACAAATATACTTCTTTTGTCACTGAGATTACCTGCAGGTGGATTTTTAATGTGGCATTCATCTTTCTTAATATAAAGTTCTTCTTCCAGTACTTCCTTAATTCTCTTATGTGGCTCACAATATAAAAATTTCTTCCCTATAAAGACATCAACAAAATTGGTTATGTATAATAAATTCTTCCCAACCTTCTAGCCATCACACCTACATGAATAGCTTTTTTTTAAAAAAAGACATATCCTTCTATACAAAGGCAGATGATTTGCCTTGCAGACTATTTTCAGAAGATCTCTTTCATTCTGGCTTCTGGTTCTTTTTGGTGCTTCACAATTCCATATAATTCCAACTTTTGGGTTAGTTTAAGATACATCTTTTAGGTATTATGAAGAAGCTAATGTCTTCATTAACTTCAAGAAAACTTTCATTTATTCAATAAATTCTCATCAAAGACCTACTCTGTGCCAGGCATTTGGCTAGGTAGGGGCAATGGACATAACCATGAAAAATTCAGATGTGTGCATGAAGTCTACGATCTAGATATATAACAGAACAGCCTCACCATTATTTAATAATCATTTTTTAGAGGCTGAACCTGAATTGTAGTAGTGAACCACTTACGGATAAACGACTGTGCTGGCCTCTAAACCTGACCCTGAAGGAACTCCCTGCAATAGTGGAGAACTGTATCATTTGTTCTAAGTACCTGAGTTTTGTTTCTTCAGCTCTGTGTGATCTGACCCCATCTGTCTCTCCAATCTCTCCTGCTAGCCTCTCATTCTCTAAACTCCAACATGGCCTTTCTGCCCACTCCCACATTCTATATTCTCTGCCTAAACTGTCTCCTAATTGTTTCCCTGGGTAACTTCCATGCAAATTTCAAGTGTAGCCTTAAATTTCAGTTCTTGAGGAAAAGTTCCCTGATTCCACAATCTTGAAATGCCCCTAGTTTCTTTTTCTCATACAACTTTCCTCTTTTCTTTCATTTCACTTATTGTAATTTATCTATGGTTTCATTTAGTTTTTATACAATTACTTGTGTAATGATTAGTTTAATATATGTCTTCCTTTCCAGACCATAAATACCCTAAGGGCAGGGATGTCTATTCAGTCAGCAGAGTCCTAGAACACGGGTTGGCAAAATAGACACTCAGCAAATGTGTGTTCAAATAGAACCAAACACTGTTACATTAGATAGAGCTCAAGGCCATTCTGTGTGCATGTCTGCCAGTGTAGCCTTGTGAGTGTCAGGACACTAGTACCTCTAGTCTCAGTACTCAAAAGCTCAATGCAAAGAACCATGGAAAACCTAAACAACCAAGTACTTTAACTATTCAACATTTGACTTTAAACTCACAAAGACATGGCAGGTGTCTCATCTTTTCCAGGCTAGTCAATAAAGAACACATGTGAATATATTTGGCTTCTGTGCAGGCTGGCCCAAATGGGGAAAGAGACCTGCTGCTTCAGGCAGGGATCCCGAGTTATTCCCAGTCATGAAGACCCACACACACCCTTAGACACAGACAAGGAAGAGATGTTTTGTACGTCTCATTCTCGTTTCCTCACCTGAGACCTAGGAGTCATATGAATGAGAGATGGTATCAGCATTACTCCAGTTTAATTTCAGAATAAACTGTTTTGGTTAAAGTTTAGGCAGAAAAGGTTTTAGGAAATGTGGCTAAGGAGGAAGAAAAGCCTAAAATAAGTTAGTAGAAAGGAAGAGATCATCTGCCCTAAGTTCAAGTCTTCTGACACATTTCAGCCCTGCTACTTCAAGAATTTGCAGAGGAAATCACTAAAGGTTTTGAGGAACTATAAAAAATGAGAGTAGAAAAGAGCCAGTATAGGCATATATTCCCTTCTCCAAAAAAGGAAGGAAGGAAGGTAGGAAGGTAGGAAGGAAGGAAGGGAGGGAGGGAGGAAGGGAGGAAGGGAGGAAGGAAAGAAAAGGGACAGAAAAAAAAACTAGCAACAGCTTAATGTTGACCTTCACCAACATTCTGAATGAATTGGTCAACAGCTTGATTGTGAGGACAGTGAGGAGCTGTGTTTACTACGTGATAAGGACTGCTGAAAACATTATTATTCCAGGCTCAATTATTCTTTTTTCTTTTAGTTAGGGGCTAATAACAATTGCTGTAATTTATTGAACACTACCGTGCCCTAAACATCTTACATATATTATCTCTCTCACAATTACCCTATGGGTAGATATAATTATTCCTATTTCATAGTGAAAAAGTAACTCCCATGTCACAAAACTCATCAAAAAAGTAAAAGCCTTGCCTACCTGACTCTTCCAAACCCAAATTACTAAACAAACTAGATTAGTGAGATGTACCCACAATGTATCTGCATTTCAGCAAGGCATTTGATAAAGTGTATTTGTAGGGGACAGAATGCCCATGCCAAAGATGCTGACTGACAGGTCAGGGGCTACTAGAGACTTCTTGGACTTGTTGAGATAATCTAATTTGCTAATTTGGATGTAGGAACTGCCAATAAACCTGACAAATGTGAGAATGGTACAAAGTTGGCGCATGGCAAACTCAGGTCTCAAAGGGCAACTTCTGTATCTGGAATGAAGTGCTAAAATCTATAGGATGCTATTGATGGGGGATAACTATGACAACATGTATTTGGGACCAAACAAATGAACTGTATAAGTATAGGATAGAAAAAGCCTGGCTCAAGTATTTTCAAATGTACTGAGGAGAGGAAGAGAAACTATGGATGTCATAGACTGCATTTGTTAAATGTGTTAATAATATAAAGTGTCTGCCAAAATAACTACTGATGTTCATATCAAAGGAGGTTATAGTCCCACCACACAATTCTAATCTGATCATATCTAGAATACTGGATTCAGTGATTTAATAAAGTGGAGAATATTGGAAGAGATCAGCCATCATGAGGAATGTGCTATCAATTATTTCAAAGGTAATACTGAAGTCTGTGAAAGATTGATGGGTGCTCAAATGAACCATTTTTATTTTTTCAAAGATGGAGTTATATAATTTCAATGAGAAAGGACTACATTTTATCTGTGTGTATTTAAGAGCAGATTTGTGACTAGGGAGTTGAAGCTGTAGAGTAACTGAAGACCTTTCCAAAAAATAGACTAAAGACTTTTCCAAAAAACATTTGAAAGTTGAATGAGTATTTTGTGTGGGTGTGAACAACCTGTTTCTACTTAGGCTGAGGCCCTAAAAGGAGGCTTTCAAGGAGGCTGAGGAGGGAACTGTGTATTCCCAGACCCTGACTTTGTGAGCTCCAGGTAGTTTACACTCTTGCCTCACAATTCATCACTCACTTCCCTGCAACTTGCCCACTACATAGCATGCAATAAAGAGTATTTGTTGAGTCCATGAGTGAATGACTAGTTCTACCTTTTACACTTACAACCACAGGAATAAAGAACCTTTAAATTCTAGCATCTTTAATGAGAAAATTCCCAGATAGAATTTTATCAAAATAAGGAATTACTTAAACATACTAAACACTTTAATATACTGAATTCAGTTGCTCTAAGGCCTCTGCATGCTGCTGATAGTAATAATAAAAGAAATGAAGCATCATAATCAGTCATATTAGGGCTGATGCCAATGGAAGAGGCCCTTTCATCAGGAGGCAGAGGTTTTGTGACTTCTTGATGAGAGAGGTCTTGCCTGAGGATGGTGTGTGATCAATCCCCTGGGGTGGGAGAGCTGAGCCTCTTCAGCCCAACCCTTCCTCCTGGGGATGGCTGAGCACAGAGGGACTTGGTGGAACAGAACGGAGACAGCTTTCTAAAGAGGCAACAAGGAGACACCTCTGAAGGGCTGGCAACCGCTTGAGCTCCTCTTTGGCTTATTATTTTCACTATCATCATTCCTTAGCACCTACTGAAAACCTGTGGGGACCCAGGGACTGTGAGATACCTGTAAATTCATGGAACAATATGGATGAGTGCCACAACCTGGCGTGGACTCAAGTTACAACAATGTCGGTTGTAACTGTGGACCAGAACTGCCTTTATGTATTTGAATATTGTCTGTGTGTTTGGCTGGGCAGAAAGGGGGCAGCAGTGTGGTACAAGGTGGCCTGTGAGGTTCTAGAAGGATTAGGTAATAATGTATGGACTGAAAGTCCAAGAGGTGAGAGTTTAAGTGTTTTAAGTATTTCTCCAGCACTGACTGTCTGTGGTCATATCACTTCCTTTTTTCTAGTCTAGACTTCAGTTTCCTGGTCTGTAAAATGAGGGAATTCGAAAAATGATCTACATGTTTCCCTGTATAAGATTTATACATTTTATTATATATTTTAAGTAAATAGTATAATATTTTCATAATTTTATATTTTTAATAAATTTTATATATACATTTTTTTCAATACCTTCCAGGCCCATGTTGCTACCAATTACATCTCAGGCTACCCAGGGAAACGGACTGGATGCTTTCTGCCACAGTGCCGTCACCTCTCCCTTTGCCAAAACAGCAGCTCCATCCCCGCCCTCCAAAATTTTTTCAGCTTCAATCAGTCTCACTCCTGTTTTCCCGTTCCCTTCTCACCAGTTCTCCACACCGCACGTCCCTCTGCGCAGGGTCCGCGGCTGCTGGGGAATACACTTTGTTTGCAGGACTCCTGAGGGCAGCTGGAGCTGGGCTCCCAGCGAACTCCGCACCCCAGCCCGGCCTCCTGCCGAGGCTGCTCCCCACTGGGGCTGGCCTCGGGTGCCACCACAGTAGTCATTACCGCCACCTTCTCCACCCTCCTGCCGCCAGTGTCTTCGCCACTCGCCTTCTCAGCTCCGCTGCAGGCTGCAGGAGAATGCGAGGCGTCTCCCGTTGCCATAGTGACTAGGGATCCTCCCCTCCGCCAGACGCTCTCGGTAAGTTTCTCCCCAGCCCCAGGGGTCCCGCGTGCCCCAGAAGCCACTTGCTGCGGTTAGTTGCTGACCAAAGAAAAGCTCTTGCTGTCAATCTCTCCTTTGTTCCTCACATCACTTTCGCAAGAGAGACTTTACTATCCTCTGGTAAGGAAACCGATTCAGAAATAGCTAAAGAAATTGTCTGAGGCCACACAGGTAGGAAGTGGCACAGCGGGACTCTGAATTCAGAAAAGTCTAGCACCAGAGCCCAAAGAATAATCACCTTAAGGAACAGGTAGGGGAGGGAGCTGGTATTGGACAGGTGAGTTGAAGATAAGGTCCCTGGTTTCACACAGTACTTATGCTTAGCGTGTCCACTGCCCACTACACACACAACGTGATTGAGTAAATGAATGTTGAGGATTCCCAGTTTTGGATTCTAAGTTTTTATTATTGTTGTTGTTAATAATAAACAACAATAGTAGTTTCTTGTAGTTTCTAAGCATGTATTTCAATTTATCCGAGGTCTGTCCGGGAAAAAGGCCAGCCGTTGTTAATACAAGGAGAGCAGTTTGTGCCACAGGGACTGGAATGCACATGCATGAACAATGATAACTTCACTGTACTAGTCAGTGGGGGTAGCAGAGCTGTTGAGTGAGCATGTGTACTGTATGGTAGCCACATTCAAAATGACTGAGCAAGTAGAGCAACGAATCTGCATCAAATTTTGCATTAAGCTTGAATGAACATTCCTCTATGGAAACTATTGGGATGATTCAGAAGGCTGCAGCTATGGGCAATTGGTGATTAGCAACTCCGTCATGACACCTCCCCTGCTCATGCATCACGTCTCATGCAGAGATTTTTGGTGAAACATCAAATCACCCAGATGACTCAGCGCCCCCTACAGCCCAGATTTGTCACCCTTCGATTTCTGGCTTTTCTGAAAACTAAAATCACCTTTGAAAGGGAAAAGATTTCAGACCATGGATGAAATTCAGGAAACTACGACGGAGCAGCTGATGGTGATTGGGAGAACTGTGTGAGGTCCCAAAGTACCTACTTTGAAGGGTACCGAGGTGTCATTGTCCTATGTACAATGTTTCTTGTATCTTCTTAAATAAATGCCTCTATTTTTCATATTACATGGCTGGATACTTTATGGACAGACCTCTGTATACTCAATTTTACAGGTGAGGAAATCAATTTCAGAAAAGTTTGATTTGATAGCAAATGGGAAAATCTAGAGTTTTATTTATAGCCTGAGGTTGCTTCTGTGTTTTTGCAGCCATATAAAAAGGCTTTTTGTTGAGTTAATATTATGAAAGCTCAATGTTCATTATTTTACAGGGTTAAATAATACTACAAGGCTTGCAACCAAATACAAGGCACACCATCTGCCTCCAGTTCACCCCAGAGGCAGCCACTTTCACCTCTTTTGGCTGATAATTTACTTTTTACAAGCATATAACCAAATGCTTATTTTGCTGCTGTTTATTTTTCAATTTTTGGTATCATATGTTGATTTTCTACTATGGAAGATGAGAATTTAGTTAATATTCATGCTCACCATCTCACATATACTTACCGCCCCCTCCAATTGCTAATACAGACAAGCTGTAATTTTGGCTGGAGCATTTTACATTACTGTGACTATGTAAACCCCCATGACAGCTGCACTATGTAATATCCTATGGCCACTTTTCTCTTCTGGAATTAATAATTGCCTTGTTTTTCCGTTTGCTTGATTTTTAATGTCCTTATCACTTATTAATTCCCAAACTCTTTATCCTTGGGTAAATTTCTTAATATGTCCAAACACATGAGGGATTCTATCAGTTTCATCTTTTTCACAGAGTCCCTTTCAGAGAGTCTGGACTGGTCCATTGCTCTCTAGGCCTCTGGCTGCACAGCTGTTGTCCAAGGACTTCCCTTCACCATGGTACCTCTCTCTTGCGATGGATCCCTTATTTGTTAATCCCATCTTGTTCTCTTTCTTGGTTTACTCATTATTTGGTGGAGCATATCTCCAGTAGCACTTTGAGAAATGGTCTATGAGAGATAAAATGTCCAAGTCCTTACAGATTTGCAAGTGTCTTTATTTTACTCTCTATCAAAGTAGAGGTCTAGCTGGATAAATAACTCTAGATTGGAAATAATTGTTTTCCTCAGAATTTTTTTTTATCCTCACCCAAGGACATGCTCATTGATTTTAGATAGAAAGGAAGGGAGGGAGAAAGAGAGGGAGAGAAATATCTGTGTGAGAGAAATGTCTATTGGGTGCCTTTTGTATGTGTTCCACCTGGAGACCAAATCTGCAACCTAGTTATGTGCCCTGACCAGGAATCAAACCTAAAGACCTTTGGGTTTGTGGGACAACACCCAACCAACTGAGCCACACCAGCCAGGGCATGTCTTCAGAATTTCAAATTCATCGTATCATTGTCTTCCTGGCATCCACTGTTGCCATAGAAGTCTGCTGCCATTGTTTCTGTTCCCTTGCTACAGGACCCGTTTTTCTCTTTCTAGAAACTTGGAGGATTTTTGTTTGTCTTCATTATCTTGAAACGTCATACATCTTGATATGGTTTTATTTTCAACCTTTTTGCTGGGCACTCAGTAGAACACTTCAGTCTCAAGTCTCATGTCCTTCATTTTAGAGACTTTTTTTAAAATCGCTTTATTTCAATAACTTTGTTTTCTTTGTTCTCTCTGGAACCCTGGTATTTGTATGTTAGATCTCCTGATTTGTCCTCTGATTTTCTGACCTATTTTTTTTAACCTTCACCTAATGACATTCTTTCATTGCTTTTAGAAAGAGGAAGAAGAGAGGTAGGGGGAGAGGGAAACTTCAGTGTGAGAGAGAAGCATCTATTGGTTGCCTCCTGTTCACACACAGATGGGGCATCGCTCACACTTGGATAAAAGGATGGAACCCAAAACCTAGGTATGTACCCTGACTGGGAATTGAGCCTACAGCTCGACTTCAGTTTAGAGGATGATGCTCCAACTAACTGAGCCACACAAGCCAGGGCCTGACCTATTTCATATCTGTATTTTTGTACTATATTCTGGGAGATTTCCTCATTATTTTCTAGTTTTCATTTTTGCTATCATGTTTTTAATTTCTCAGAACTCTCAGAATTTTCTTTTTTATGTAACACCTTGCCTTTATATCTGAGAATATTAATAATATACTTCATTTCCAACTTATTCTCCTTATATAATTGCTGTTTCCTCCAAGTTACCTATTTCTGTTTGTTTTGGTCTCTGTTTTAGTAGATTTCCTCTATCTTCAGGTGATCCTTTACTGTCTTGCCTGTTCTAATAGTGCAGATCATGAATCTGTGTACACAGGTGGGCCTTACTGACTGAAAGTTTCACTGATGGGTGGTCTGTTTGGGCTGTTTAATTGGGGAACCTCTGATGTCTGTATTTTAAGATCTATCTCTGGAACTGCTCTGATACTCCAAGGGGTGTCTCCTTCAGATTCCCTGTTGGTGGGTATCTTTAGTCTGGTGCCAGCACCCTGGAAAGTGAGTTGGAGAAGAGAAATGAAGACTCAGCATGGAATTACCCTGTTTCAGTATGGTGATCCTGCACCCAATTATGCTTTGTACTTTCCAGTCTTAGAAGGCCTGACTTCTTCCACCAGTCAGTCATCTTCTGGGGTGTGGTCATCCATCTAGTTGTTTCGAATAAGGGAACTGAAGGTCTAATTGCTTTGTTTTTATTGTGATAAAGTATAGATAATATAAAATTTACTATTTTAATCATTTTTAAGTATAAAATCAATGGCATTAAGCACATCCATAATGTTGTACAGCCATCATCACTATCTATTTCCAGAACTTTTTCATTGTTCCAAATAGAAACTCTACCCATTAGACTTGTATTCCCAATTTCACTCTTTTCAGTCCCTGGTAACTTCTATTCTACTTTCTCTCTATGAATTTGAATACTTTAGGTACTTCTTATAAATGGAATCACAGTATTTTTCCTTTTGTGATTAGCTTATTTCACTTAGCACCATGTTTAGTATGTATCAAAACTGGATTCTTTTTAAAGGATGAATAATAGTCCATTGCATGTATATACCACATTTTGTTTATCTAGTCATCTGTTGATGGTCATCTGATTGTTTCCATCTTTTACCAATTGCCAATAATGCTGCAATGAACATGAGAAATTATATGTTTGAGTTCTTGCTTTCAATTCTTTTGAGTATGTACCTATAAATGGAATTGCTGGATGACATGGTGATTCTATGTTTAAATTTTTGAAGAACCATCTAACTTTTTCAAGTGGCTGTACAATTTTACATTCCCACCAGCCATGCACAAGGATTCCAGTTTCTCTATATCCTTGCCAATATTTGTTACTTTTCTCTTTCTCTCTCCTTTCATAATAGCTATCCCAAGTAGTGTGAAATGGTATCTTTTCGTTGTTTGGATTTGCATTCTTCAAATGACTAGTGGTGTTGAACATCTTTTCATGTGCTTATAGACTATTTGTACATTTTTCTTGGAGAAATGTCTATTCAAGTATTTTGCCCATTTTGAATTGTGTTGTTTGCTGTTCTTAAGTCTTAGGAGTTCTTTATATATTTTGGATGTTAATCTCTTATAATATATGGTTTGTAAATATTTTCTCACATTTCATGGGTTCTCTTTTCACTTTGTAGATAGTGTCCTTGCTTGATTATAAAACATTTAGATTTTAATGTAGTCCCATTTATCTATTTTTTCATTTGATACCTATGCTTTTGGAATCATATGCAAAAAAATCATTGCTAAATTCAATATCATGAAGATTTTTCCCTAAGAGCTCTATAGTTTTGACTGTCATACAGGGTGGGGGAAAAAGTAGGTTTATAGTTGTTAGTATGGAAAATTATGCAATAATAAACAATGATACAAGAATAAACTTTGTGTTGTGCATATTATCACTATAAACCCACTTTTGCCTCATCTTGTATTTAGGTCTTTGACCATTATGAGTAA